CGCCTTTAATTCATAAAGCCTATTTTTTTCTATGAAATAAAGACTAAAATTAATAGTAACTTTGTTACTATTTAATGCTTTTTTGCAATTCTAACAGATGGATATTGTTAATTGCTAGCGCCTACTTTAGTTTGCTGGGGCTACGGTGCAAGTGTGGTGGTTTCGAATGAAGTTTTCTGTTCTCTATGTTTGTTCCTGAAAGCGACAACTTTTCGGACATTCTCAAGCGGTTTGATGCACTTTTTTCTATCCATCCTAGTGAAAATTTGCATCTACCAAGCACTCTTAGTCTTCTTACGGAATTGAGAGAACTGACGGATCGTCTTGGAAGTAAAATATGCACCACTAACATCGTCAAACTATGCGGTGATGAAAAATTCATTTGCTATTACAAGAACTGTTTGGATTATTTTGTGTCGGAACCTAAACTCAGTGCCCTTTCAAATTCACGATCTGTCCAAGTAAATAATTTTGCGAAGTTGCACGGCTTTCTTTGGCACATTTGCCGACAGCACTGTACGGCGGGCCACTGGGTGTGCGAAAAACTGAGCACTCATGGCGTTCATGATTGGTTGTGGCGCTTCGTCTCTTGCAGAGATTTTATTGCGACGAAGTGTGTGCAAAATTCTCGTACGAAATTGATAGTTTGTTGGTCGTTTGGCATTCTTTTGCATATTTTGACACGAACGCAAGTTTCCGTGAATAGCTACCGCAACTGCAACGGGGTACATATCTTGCGTCCCTTTTTAATGAACTGTAGGGTACGCAAGTCAAGAAGCCAATCGGAATATTTAAAAATGTGTGCCCTTTTGCTTTTAATACCTTTAGTTAATGAAAGTGAGAACAAGTCGATCAACGCCATAGATAATTATGTAACATACCTTCTTTCTGCTGTCAGAATTGCCCTTAAGTCACAGGATCTATATTCATCCGTCCACAAGCACCATTTGCGAGACCTTCTACGCGGACTTAATGGACTTACTCGTTTTGATGCTAATAAACGGGTGCTACTGGAAGGTCACATACTTGATGACATTTTGACTATGTTAAAAATTGCAAAAGACCTCCCTTATTCTAAGGTCAATATGCTGCTTCAGTCTCCCGTTCCCAACACTAACTCGGATAATCTGGCTGCGGAAGTAGTAAGACTATTGTGGCAACTCTGCTTCCTATCCGAAACCAGAGGAAAGTTGTCTCAATATCCATCACTTATTGATCTTTGTCGTGAATTTGGAGGTAGCAATCGTTCACAAACCTGTCGGGAAACAGTCGAAGGCTTGCTATGGTCACTTTCTCAACCACTGACGGACTTTGAAAGGGGAGATATTAAATACACTCCTCTTTCGGCTACTGGCAATCCAAACGGCCACATTGTTTTCGCTTGTAATCGTGCCAACCACCGGAAAACTGTGGATTTCCTAAAGTTGTCACTTAAACAACGTGGATACAACGTATATTTGGAGTCGGAGAGGATGGGTACGTTTTTAGTATAATGAGCACATTTATGGATCATACTTAGCTTTTCGCATTCCACAAAGTCTTCTTAACTTATTTGCTGTATGCTAGGAATGCGCTTACTAAATTGCATTGTGTACTGTGGTATGTTTTTCTGTCCTCAAAATGTCACCAACGTAGACATGGGGACACCCACTTAAATGGTTGTAGTGATGTAGTGTTCAAGTAGCAAATACGCAAAACTAATGTTTTTAGCACATGTAGCTAACGCATTTGAAAGTTTAAATAAACTTTCCCACTTTGTATGCACTTAGAGAAACGAATTCAGTCGTAGTTGTCAAGATTTACCAAGTAGTTTTAGCATATTTTGTCTTCGTTTCTGGAACCCATTTTAGGTAGAAATAGGTGGCCTTTGAATATGCCGTTGTATAGCCTTCTTTGTGGTTGGCCTTTTGCAGTCTTACTGAATTTGTGGATTTATCGTATCAACTTTTTAGCACTGAAGCTTGTGTCCTCAACCTTTTGAGCTCGTCAAAGTATTTAGGCAAGCTAATCTGTTGTGTGCATTTGCGCTTTTGTTTTACAGAAATGGAGAAAGCACTAGAAGACGCATCTGCTTTGATCCTCTGTCTAAGTTACTCATTCAGCACTTCTCCATTTTGCCGACAGCAAGTTCTCTCTGCGCTCAATTACGGTGTAGCCCTTGTACCGGTACTTCTTGAATGCAACTACGAACCGGAAACTTGGCTTCATTACCTTCTTGCGACCGTCATCTACACATCATTTACCGACCGTGATGACTTTGAGCGGGCTGCCGAGTCTCTCTCCTTGGCTCTTACGAAGTATGGGATTGTGAGGGCGGTCTCCAGTGTGGATCATGAAACTGATTCTTCCGAGGCCATTCCATCACCTTCCGTTGCATCACCGTGGCGTTCTATTGCTCTAAAGAATCACACGGGACGGGGGCTTCGCATGCAGTTATTGTCAGGTATGCCTAAGACATCTCGTACACCACACTTGTCTACGAAGTTCATTCGGTTAAGGTAGCCAGCGTAGATTAGGTCATTTCCGCCCAATTTAACGTTTCAACGTACTGGAAGCTTAGTTCTAGTTTGGCCAAGTGTAGCCAAGCGTAATGTAACTTCACCTTTGCATTGATTTGGTGATACGCATGGCCAGTAAATATGCCCTTTCTTTGTGTCTATCATCGAATTTGTGTTGAGGGCTTGTGGTCTTTTTTCTAATGGTAGTGCTAGATCGATACTTGAGTGGCACTTTGTTTTCCAAACGATTGTTGGGTATAGATTAGAGAACTTATTGAAATCTTTTGTCAATAAGTAGCCCTTTTAAATTTCAGAATCAAGCAACGCCTCGACCCCAACCCCCAGTGATTGCGCTACCGCGTCTGTCTGTCAAAGCTGTCAGCACTCACCCTTTTCTACGTGTAACCTTTCTCTTTTTGAGCCTCTAGCTTTGTGTTGTAATTCGATGCTAATTGGTGTCATTTTGTTTATTTTTTATTCCAGGAGTTTTCTGCTTTTACCTCATTATTTTTTTTAAAGTTTCGTAACCTAATATAGTGCATAGATATGTGATTTTCTCAATCGTTCTCTTTTCCTTAGTTATTGTTCACATTTGTTTCTGCTTGAATACCTCTCCTATTACATGTACGCCGAGACAGTGCCGCTAAAGCACGCACATATTTAGCCGACTTTGTTTTTGATTAATTGAATTTTTTTCGTGTATATCTTATGCGTTTGAATAGAGAACACATTACAAATTTCGATTAGATAATGCATCATATCGAAAAATTGGATTAATTACTAATCAGAATGACTAATCCAATCTTAACCAAATGAACGCTCTAACGAGTTCATGACATCGTGGGACTCCGAATATGTTCCTAATTTGTAGGCATATTTACATTATTCTGGTTATACGGCAGGTGCGGGCGTAGACATAGTACTACAGCGAACATCACATATACTTTAGCCTCACGTCTTTGGAGTGGTAGTTGCGGTGGTTCGCAGGTGCTCTCGGTTTGGAGTAACGGTGAACAGAGCGCGGCTAGCTCCAGGCTGCAGGGGCACTCGCAATCTCAGCAGCATTGGGAGGAGGATCAAGAGTCTTTATTGGCATACCAGGCTCCCTCACCGACTGTAAGATTATGGAACGTGGAGCGGGTGCAGCGATGGTTGGAGGAGAGCGGCCTAGCACATTACGCTCAGGCTCTCAGCTGGCTGGACGGCAATCTGCTATGGGAGCTGGCCTGGCACCGTATTCGTAGTTGCGACGCCTTCTTCTCAAACCTTGAGCATCACCTCAATATGCCGCAACACGATCAGGTTCTCTTCTTTAATACTCTTTCTCTCCTCGCTGACGTCTCATAACTAAATCATTTATTTTTTATCCTTGCGGTTTCATACTTTATATGCCCCAATTCTGTGTAAAATGTGAATTGGAACTGTACAGTCTTACGTTTCATTTGATTATTCATGTTGCAACCTATTTTGTTCTTTTGTCTTCACTTTCTCTATTATCCCACGGTAACTATAAATGTGGCTACTTTTAAGTGCACTTTACTACAAACTAGGGCCAATGGCAACTACAATGATGATAACAGTAAAATACTGTTACGATTGCTTTACAATTAACAG